TTCCCAATCTCACATGGCCTTAGTTACACCAGAACACGAGAAATAATCCTCGAGGCAATAAAACCATTTGTATCTGACATATAGTTTGGGCTTTACAGCCTTAGGTCCGGCGTTGCATTTGTAGCGTGCAACGCCCCAGTATCTCCCGCACTAATATCACGTCATGGCAGATGGAAGACCGAAAAGGCCCGTATTGCGTACATAAATCCCAACCACGAAATCACCCTTATTCCCTCTAAGTCACTCGGCATATAATATAATGCAGTCGCCAAAAACTGTTTTTAAATGTTTCTTTAATCCCGTAGTTAAGTACATAGGTCGGCATCAATTTAAAATACTTTCCTATAAAAGATATACCCGTGAGCGAATATCAAAGTCGCAGTTCACGCATTCCACGCAAACCGACAATGTTCGGAATGTGATCTTTCAGATTAATTATGTTATCTTTAGATGTCAGTTTATGTATTTTGAGATGAGTTTGTAAGCGAATATTATTAGCAGTGGTTGTATGAAGTTGGAGATGGAACGTATGAGACTTTAATACCTACACGAATAAATGAGCGAGTGTCAGCGCTCGGCCATTCCAAATTTGTTCACCGAAAACATGTCTGCCTTTTTCTGTTCCTTATATTGGTATTATTTTACATGAGGTAGATATGGAAAGGATATTATTTTCAAACGAAGGAACGAGGAAGAGAATGGATTTCTCTTACACAGGCCGCGCGCCGGTTCCTAGCAAAGCCGCCGACAGAGGGCGCGTTACCGGCTCCTTATCATGCTTTTTCCTATAGGTCATCTATAGAACAACGTGCGGCATACCTCACTTGTAAGAATTCCCATAATGCGCGGGTGTCAGTTGGTAACGGAGTGACTCACAGCCCCTCCCCCCCCCCCCCCCCCCCCCCATCGGCAGAAACCATATGCGTAAAAATATATATAGCCCTCTGTAACAAACGTAGGATTATAATTATGTGAGCAATGCAAATTTTATTTGTGTGGACTAATCTGTTGATTACTTAATGTGGCTGCCACATATTTGTAATAGAAGAACGGGTTACGGTGTCATATGAAAATCGGAATCGTATGAAAATCGGACTTTTTTCCCTTTTATTGGTTAAACCCTCTCACGTGACCAGTCCCTCTCCTAATTATCTATGCATGAGCATGCGCAATACTACCAATGAGTCCGTATTTCATAAAACCTAAATTCATGCTACAACGGAAAACCCGATAAGGCGCCCTCTGAATGGTCAGAATCTCAAAGTCAAGAAAGCAGTATTGTTTTGCATAATAAACGTCGAGTCTGCTCGCGTATAATAGACTCTTGCTGTGCAAGAGGATATTCCATGTAAAGGGGAAAGGGAAAGGGGAAAATGCGGGGGACAAAGTTAGACGTGTACTCCGGAAAAAATCACCAGAAACTATGCAGCTTGAGCAAAAAGTAGTTTCACGTCAATGGTGCATGCGCCCTCTTGGCGCGGTTGCATATCTAAGTATGCACGAAACGTTGAGGGCGCTATTTCAGTCCAGTGTGACAGAAATTTGTTGACCTGCATATAAAATCCTTATTCTGAGGTTCAGTGCACGGGCAGCAAAATGTTACCGTTTTTGCTCATGTTTACCATTGTGAACAGGACAAATAATAGTTCGAACCTCTTTTCTTGAAAAAAAACCCCGATGATTATTAAGAACGATACCACTTAGTTACACAACACTTAGATTGATGACGTGATAAGTGTATAGGCCTACTTGCGGCTCGATAGAGTCAGGGGTTTTGATTAAATTCTTTGATTTTGAATATTCCATAATGAACTTGGTTCCTTGCTTTGCTTTGTGCTGACTGAGTGATGAATTACCTCATCTGATTGGCTTTCCAGTCGTTATTATTTTTGGTGCTACATATTTTTTTTAAATATGGAATATAATTTTTGGGGTTTGGGTTCCGCTTCTTCTTTTTTAATCACCCTGTATATGCAGTTATGCACAGCAGAGGACGGGTGGTGTGAAGATTTGAGTAAGTAGAACCAGCAATGATGGATTCTCCTCTTAAGTCTTTTTGACAATCATGAAAGTGAAAACAAACAAACAATACAGCTCCAAGATAGATTGTTTTGTCTGGTCATCAGACCATCCGTCTTGGATGTGTTTATTTGTTTGTTTACAATCGCGACTTTTTCATCTGATGAAGAAGAGAGACGACAATGAACAATTTTTATGTGAAGTGTAAGATAGTCTGCAAGATTAGTAATTGACAATGTTGGAATATATAAGTTTATTTGTTTTCTTTTACAACGAGAAAGTTCAATCTAAACTTCGAATGTTATTGGGCCCTTCCCGTCCACGTTTCTATGCTAAGCAATTACCAGGGTGAGTCAAAAGAAAATGACCTGGATTAACGATTAATTTTCTATAAAAGTAATCAAATTTGATGTCTCAAAACAGCGTGTTCCTCCAATCATTTTCGACTGAAAAAAAAATTAATTACTAAAATTAATCCACGCTATCCGAAGTTATGCATGTGATGGATTGCCATTAAGTGGGAATTACAGATTACAGGCGAGATTTTAATCGTTAATTTGAGTCAAGACTGAAACATTATTTTACCGTCGGATTTTGTGTTTTGAATATGAGGAACAAGTCAATTTTTTCTGAAATATTTATGGCGATTATTGTCTGTTTTCCTTCACAAAGTTTCGTTCATCCGTGGAGGTGGGAAAACGTCAATGTTTCATTGCATTTAACGGTAAATGGTCAATGGACAGCTGACTTTTGTGATATTCTTATTAAAATAGACATAATTGGGTGATAGAATATGCTAATTACCTAAATGTTCATAAGTCAATAACATGTATAGGCTTACTTTATCCTTATGTTGTTTTTTTATGAAATGGAGCGAGCCACATATTTAAAAAAAAAAAAAAAAAAAATGTTAAAAAAGTATTTTAACTAATTTGGTCACTCTTTTTAAAAAATTTTTTCTTGTTTCATTTGGTAAGGTTTTTTTTTAAGGATTCTGACTTCGGTGCATTTTGTGCCCTTGGGTTATCCTTGCTTGGGAGGAATCGAATAAATACACTAGCTGCTATAGTCCAGGCACTCGACATTTTATTCGGTACAACGAACATTGGTATGCAAAACCTACGATCGATGGTTAAATTTAGAAGATTTGTTCGGTTGCATTTGCTTTTGCCTGAATTCAATGTGGAGTTGTCTATAATGTACTCACTACCAATGAGTCGAGATTTCACTGTGTCTACAGAGTACACACTTATTGATTTAGTGCATGGTCGTTTGGCACAGGCAGTATAATCACTCTTCGTTTTCCGGAGGGTAGACAGCTTATGTAGGTCAAGAGCTAAATTCCCAGAAAGAAAACTTTATGCGTCCGATTCGCTATCGACAGATTACCCAGGCAGGTGGAGGTGGGACCGGGATCTGAGGGGCAAATTTACCGTTTATTTACCAACCTTCGGATAATCACCAGTCGTCAAGCGAACTCTGAATTGATAATTGGGGTAACGGCAAAGGAAACTCTAGAACTGAGCAATATACGCGAGAGTGTTTTAGGTAGGAAACGAGCACGCACTCCGCGCAGCTGAAGCGGTAGCGTGCGCCGACCGTCTGATCCCTTGAGTGCAGAATGCGAGTGGAGGGAATACTAATTGGAACTCCTCATAAACCCTCAGTTTTTCCTCGTGGTTTGCGCATGTGCGAATCTTGTTGCCAGCTTCCATCAAGAGATAGTGTCCGGGGGCTCTCGATTGTGCCACTCTGGTTCAGTGCGCGTACGGAGCATGCTCAGAACGGGTTACCATTATGCGTTCGTGTACGTGATCAGTGTACGTCGGTGTCTGTCGCCAGGGTTCAGACCTGTCTCGTGTTCTATTTCACGGCCGCATTGCGAGGAGACAAGCTGAGATTCAATTTTCGACGGTGGTGTTTCCTGTGGCAAGGCCAGTGCTTGTCTTCTTGGCAGGATTCGCGACTAGACGTGCGTTTTTACCTTAGTTAAAGGATCTAGAGATAATGAAGTCGGTTTGCCTCGGTTTTGCGGACTGCCTCGTTTTGCGGACTGCCCGATGTTTTTGTTAACACACGTCTTATGCTGAATTGTAGTCTAAGACAGTGGGTGTACTTTTGCACAAGACTCCTTGATGCCGTGGGTAGACGCGTTGACAATTTCGGACGGTATCCCAGGCGACATTTTCCAAGGATTGTATTGGCGTATGGCCTAGGAGGAAGCGTGTCCTCGTCAAACTCGATTTCTTTACCTTGCCCATGTTTTAATATTGCTCACTAATTGTCATGGAGGCACTGCACGGCAGCCACAAATGTCATCGTGGAGGTAAAACTTCAGATTATCCAAGATTTTGAGTCTGATTGTGACAGGCCGTCCGTAAATATTCAATTCAATTGTGACATTTTCCAGCCACATATAAATTATTCAGGCTTCAATCATATTATCGAAGCTGTCTAGCAGAAGATGGCTCGTACTATTGTGAGAGGGACACCACAGCACATTCATGTATGCGAGAGTGCAGCCTGCCAGATTCAGGATTAATTATGTATTTATTCATCGAACCAGCGGTTTCCGTTTGTTGATATTCAGTGAAATTAACTTCTCTCCGTGTTTGCTGTAGACAGCGTGACTCATTAGATCGTGATTACAGACCATCTAGCAATATCGGCGTTGTATGGGTTTACCTGTAAAACCCCACGAGGATCGTTGTGCCTACGCCACAAGACGAATTACAGTATATCTACGGCACATTCTCCTACGAGCCATGGTAACTAGCGACCGATTCTGATGGAATCAAAGTTCAATGGCAAATTTGATTTGCTTTTCCGCCCAGATCTCTCCTTAAAAGCAAACTGTTGTTGCGCGGTGAGCAGACGGACAGCTGTTGTCATCGAGCCGGTCTACGCTTAAACGCGGACTGCACCTGGTTACACCGTGGATTTGTTTGCCGTGCAGTTTGGCAGCTCTTGTTTGAGTATTGCCTTCACAGCATGAACATAAACGACGACAGGTACATGTACAGTAAGGAGTAACCCGTGATTTATGTACTGTATCTATGTAGTCGGCATTCATGTTCCCTGTTGGCAATGACAACGATGCAATGTAATGGCTTCAGATAAAACTGTGGTCAAATGGTTTGTAAACCGCTGTGAGGAAAGTTAAGTGATGCTTATGAATATACGGGATTTGCAACCGTGATTTAGACTGTCACAGCGTATTAGAGTATCTATTTCAAAGTTTTCAGTGCTTCTACCATGCTTCACATGCCTTCTGTGAGAGATCGCAATCGCCGCACTAGCCTTGGGCAAGTCTCTGGCGGGGTAGCGATCCATGATGCCGTGGTCAAAGGTAAAATCCACCTGGCAAAGTTCATCCTGGACGCAGTGGAGAGCCAGACTGTGGTGAACTCCCGAGATGCTCACGGTAAGACACCACTGATCCGAGCTGTACGGATCGAGGAGGAGGGGGTGCGGGGCCGGGTGGTGGACCTGCTGGTGAAATACAACGCTGATGTTAACCTGGTGGATAACGTGGGCCGCTCGGCTCTGAGCTACGCTTGCGAGCTGCATCGGAACGACGTCATAAAGAAGCTTGTCAAGAACAATGTGGACCCAAATCTGCAGGATAAAAACGGCAACTCGCCCCTTATGTACTGTGCCGAGACTGGTAATGCAGCCGGTATTGAGATACTGTCCAAGTCCTTCCGGCGTCTGGGCTTAGACGTGGACACGTTGAACGCTGATGGTATGACACCACTCATGGTTGCTGCTAAGTGTGGATATGCGGAGTGTGCTCAGCTCCTAGCTCACGAGGCCAAAGCCTCTCTATCCAGACGGGATAATGTGCACAACAAGAATGCCATCGACTGGGCAAGGGAGGGTGGTTGCTCAACCCCGGACGTAGAAGCTCTACAGGCTCGGTCACGGAGCCACAGCAAATCGGCTGTGAATCTATCTGGCAACGAGCAGAATGAAAGCCTCGCTCAGGATCACGGTTATCCACAACGGATGCTTCCCAGGCGCAAACCTATCCCTCTGAATCCCAACGCATCCGACAGAGGTTCCACTGCCTCACTTCCGTACATCGATTCTGACTCCATCAAGGAGTCTTGTACCAAATTCACTGGGAGCCAGCCAGACATTCGAAACTTACAGAACGATAAGTTTCGGTTCCATCAGCTGAGTCTGGGAGAGCTGTCAAACAGGTCCCAGTGCCCCAATGCAGGATCATCGCACGAACAGTCGACCAGTCACTGCAAGGAAAGTACGCCAAGTCCAGACACACCGACTAAACCAGCGACTGTCAAGCGCTGGGGTTCTGAAGATAGTGGTTCTTCCAATCCCCAACGCAAACTGAGCCTTGATGGCATCCTGGATGACCTAAAGTCAGACGAGAAGATAACTCTGCAACACGACAATCCCCAGCTGAGGCCAGCTACGGCCGTCGGTGTCTTTAACAAACGAGTCCAGCATCTCACAGGTGACCACCGAAGGCGTCCCTTGTCGGCCAATGTCGCCAACCGCCACAGTAACAGGCAGACCAAGAGCTTTGATAGCGCATTGACCTTGATCAACGGCCGGCCATCTAACTCCATCGACAACCTGACCCTGACTGTAACCCAACCCCTTGTCCCGCATCCTCCTACCACGGCCAGGGAGGGCAGCAACCTGTCCAGACTCTCACACCTTAGCCGGAGCACGGAGGTACTCTCCCATCGGAGCTCCTCCTTTGAGCATCAACATGAGCCCAGCAACAGCAGCATCAGCTACATGGACCTACAGGAGTTTTCTGGAAGCGGCAAGCGGGAGCGCCAATCTTCTCTCTCGCCGGGAGATCTCAGCGGACTCTTCATGAGGCCACAGAGTGCTCTATCCAACCAAGAGTTCGAGCGTCTCCCTGCTCTGTCTCCAAAGTGTATTCCCCGTGAAATGTGAGATGTTTAATGCTAAAACAGTGCAGATTTTCAAATGCAATTATGAGCGAATATACCGCTTGTTTTAAGTGCTAAGGGGATGGACATGTGCAAAGTAAGTTTGAAAATTAAAGGGGGGCTTAGTAAAATTTTAACTTCCAAATCATCAGTCTTTTCTTGGAATGAAACATCTTGTTCAATAAACACCTTTTTTTTCAATGTTCTAGAAGCTCCTTCATGAACATTGAAAAACAAATCATTATAAAATTGGGACGAACAAAGTCCACAGAATTCGTTTTTACTGATGGGACTTGCAAATCTTTGTCACGTACAAAATGTTAATGTTTTACCCCACATTTTCCCGGGTAAAGGAAGCCTTCGGTCTTTGAAGACCGGGGGCGTCCTAATTTCCAAAAGCTTTGGACTATTTGCCGGTATATATTCTGTAGTAATTATGACCGTAGTATAGGTTTTCCCGGTTATTTTAACACTTGTATCACACGAATTCCCTATATCGATACTTTTATTTCGTCCCCGAACATCGCCAAGCTCAATTCTCAATTTGAATTTCAAAAAGCCACAACTAGATTTCATTTAAGGTTCAGTATAATTCAAATTGTTAGCATTCCGATTCGTCCAAAATCTTTGAAATTCGTCTCGTGAAGCAATCGGCGTTGAATTGACAAAGCAAATTCGTTTTTTGTCATTCGTTTTCATGTTGTTGTCATTAGCCTACATTTCGTCCCTGGTGACTTAAATCGTATACGATTAGAAAATGCGCCCTATCTTTAGACTTATTTGAAGAATTATGCGTATTAAAACAATGATAATTCAACATATATTTCCTTATATGTATACATAAAAGTAGTTAGCTGTAAGGTATGAATTTTTATTTCTGTGTTTCACAATTAACATTAGAGTCAGGAATTGACATTTCACAATATGCACTAATGACATGGACACTAAGCATTAAGTTCAAAGACCTTCTTAATGTTGTTCTTTGATAGACATACATTATTTCTGTTGTTTTATTCATATACATATATCAAAGAGCAACATTACGAAGGTGTTTGATCTTAATGCTTAATTTCAATATGCTAAGCAAAGAGCATATTGTGAAAGTTTAATTTCTGATTTTAATGTTAATTTTCAAAGAAAACTCAAAACTTACAGCTATACTTTCATTTACCAGGAAATATCTATTAAAAATTAAAATTTAATTAATGCGCAAACAAGTCCAAAGATTTGGCACATTTTGAATCGTAACGTTTTATGTCACCAGAGACGAAATGTAAAGACAAGAACATTAAAACGAATGACAAAAAACGAATTTGCTTCTTCAATTCAACACCGATTGCTTCACGAGACGAATTTCAAAGATTTTGGACGAATCGGAATGCTAACAATTTGAATAATACTGCACCTTAAATGAAATCTAGTGGTGGCTTTTTGAAATTCAAATTGAGAATTGAGCTTGGCGATGTTCGGGGACGAAATTAAAGTATCGATATAGGGAATTCGTGTGATACAAGTGTTAAATTAGCCGGGAAAACCTATATAATTTGCGGCCAACACAATAGGGAACTTTACTACATTTTTATGTTTTGAGCATTATGTTACATTTTTCTTTGAAATACTTCCATATTTGGCACCAAAAGTAACAGTGGGAAATTCTTTCTTGTATTTTGGGCCAAAATAATCTGGTGGATTTTTTTTATTTATAGGATATTCTTATATTCCTACATTTTGGTTTAGTTTCTAACCATTTTCTGGCAGAATTTCAATTCTTTTCCCAACCTTTTTCCTACCGACACAACTGAAGTACTTTGAAAACATTGCAAATTCTTTGCAATTTTTTTTTATATATAAGTACCCCAAACAAAAATAATTGTGCAGACAAGTTGAAATTAAAAGCAGCTTTTCGCGCCATTGGCGGCCTGATGGAATCCAAGCATGAATTGAAGTTGATCAGACGTCTCTGATTTATATTGGCAAAAGAGAAAAAAAAAAGAAAAGAGGAAAACATCCTTTATTTTGCTCACAAAAAGGCATATTTCTATGTAATAATAATGATAATGGAGTCTTATATAGCGCACGTATCAACCATCAATTAGGTACTCAAGGCGCTGGAGATTATGTCTATTATTAAAGAAAGGTAAATAAAGTTAATGAGAGATATGAGACCCATTATGTAGCACCTTGTAATGGTTTACAAGGTGCTTTGGCGCATATTGCAGCCACTGCCAGAAACACCGGGGCAAACCCCTTCTCTTAGCGATAAGTGTTACTGGGTTCTTTAACGTGCATTACACAACACACGGGACCTACGGCTTTACGTCCCATCCGAAGGACGAAGCAATAATGGTGAAGTGCCTTGCTCAAGAGCACAAGCACCATGTTCCCACGGTCAGGATTCGAACCCATGTACCACGGCACAAGAGTCGAACACCGTAACCGCTGGACCATAGCACCCCATGTAGTTGTATATATATTTTTAATATCAATATTTATAATTACCACGTTTGTGTACAGGGTTGCGTGATGACAATGGACATCCCAAAGAATTGATTTGGGTACCATAATTATTGTCCCTCGATAAAAGTTAGGAAAAGTGACCAACTTTCCCGCTGATTGCCAAAAGCGTTCCGGAGCTTTTACACAAAAGTTTCGGAGGGGGCACATGGTACCTTTCGGTCCTGGAAGGGTCAATGTTGCTTGATCGTTTAGCCAGAGTCACCCTTTTCAAACATGACAGCAGTGGGTTTTGTCTGACGCTTCATCGTGTTTTGTTAATAGTTCACTCTTGTTTTTCGTTTTAGTCTACCTTGTGTTTTCAGATTTGGTGCAAATTCCGTGTTTTTTTGTTTTTTTTTACATAATTTGATACAAATGTACATGTATTAAATAATTTGATATTATAATGCAATGCCGTAAATTGATACATTTTAGACAACATGCAGATGTTGATTACCTTTATTTATACACACTGTTACACCTAAAAAGTCAACCAAAATAATTCTGCACAAGACGTATTCCTTTTGAGATGCATTTTGCGCACCTTTTGTCGACGGTGTAGTCAGTAAAAGAAATGTATAAAGCATATACATGAAGCAGCTGTACAGGGTGATTCAACTAAAAGGAAACCCAAACAGTGCCCCCTTTTAAAAAAAAGAAGAATGTTTGCATGGAGCGCTTTCCAAATCTAGACTATGAAAGCCCAATTAATAAGCTTTCTTTTAGTGAAAGAATCATTCAAATCGCACACGTACTTTTCCAGTTATTCCAATTTTGATCACAAACACCGTTTTAAAAAAAAATCTTGTCCACGGATCACATTTAAGGTACGTGATATTGCAGTAAAAATGAAACTATGTCGTATCCTGAAAATGATGTCAGACTTATCCCATAAGTCTCCGGGGTAGCCAAGTATAGAAGGCAGGGCAAGACTATAAACTGTTGACATTGGAGGCAGCAGGTTTTTAAATAAATGTAATGATAAGTGCCAGTTACCATGGTCATGAGAGTGTTCTGATGTGTTTTGGATATATAAATGGTTTTGGTTTTGCTTAAATATCACTTACCTTTGAGATCCGTGGACAAGGTACATGACCGATTTTAATGATTCTTTCACTATAAGAAAGCTTATTAATTGGGCTTTCATATCCTAGATCTGGAAAGCGCTATATGCAGAACTTCGATTGAAAAAAAATAGGGGGCAATATTTGGGTTTCCTTTTGTTTTGTTTTTACTCACCCTGTATAATGACGTTTTACCATAATTATTTTTTTGACAATCGGGGCACTTGATTAAATTATTGTTGTGATATATATGTAATATATTTTGTGTAAAGACGACTTAATTTGGATTATACTCAAATATAATTCAATAGGCTTGAAACTTTCATGCTCGACGAATGTGCATTCCTCTCAAACACGTAAAATTGATTGCTAAATTCCGGTCAGAGTTGAATAATAATACTGCATACTGGCCGAGATGATGCAGTACATACTCTGCGTGCTTTGATTCCACCGCAGATGCGTACAGTAGATTAGTACCCGTAAGACAACAGAGAGGATAATTATTGAAAAATTGGATAATTAATATTAGTCATTAGCCATGCGTCACCATGGAGATGTAACAGGAATCACTCCAGCGCCATGTCACCTCGTTAACAAATTACCACAATCGACTTTACCTGCGGGCTCGGTGTATCTATTGCAGCTACTTATCACAAAGCACGTGAAGAGAGCAAAATACGGCACCGAGGAGGCCACCATGCATGGCTTTATAATCACCCAACGTTGAGATGGAACAAAATTGCCTTCCTGAAAAGCAGTCTGTCGTCTGGTTAGTCCTGGATTATGATTGGACTCGTCGGGCTTGTGGCTTAATTCAGAGGTCGTACCTCGCATTTTGGTGCCGTGTCGTGCGTATCCCGCGGCTGTCGCACTGCATAAAATCAGTCCTCGTAATACGGGGATCAATCCAGGTTTTATTATAACATGTACTATAGGTTTTCCCGGCCAATTTTCTAAAATGTTTATTCACTTCTGAAAATCGGTCATTCATTTTCGTCTGAATTTGAATGCACGTCTGTAATGCCATTTCAATTAAACGAAAGTTCAATCGTTTTCATTGTCCGTGCATTCGGTTTTGAGAAACAAACGGCCAATTACGTTACATGTGTACTCATTTACGCAAGCATAGGTCTACCTTTTCGCGCAGAGTTCTGGCATACAATTTCGTGAACGTGTAATCAAAAGTAAGACGTAAACGTTTTTCTCATTTAAAATAGCAGATTGCATCACATCACATTACATTAAACTAAAAGTGAAATAGAATGACCAATGTTTGAAATCGCTCTCTAAAAGCGAAAGGGATGTATTGTAAACGAATCTGAATGAGCATAAACGAAATGTGCCTCTCAATCACTTAATTGATTGAACTGAAATGGAATCGAATGCTCTGGTAGCGAAAATAAAACGCGTGTTCAGAGCGATTCTCAAATTCAGATGAAAATGAATGACCGTTTTTCAGAAGTGAATGAACATTTTAGAAAATTGGCTGGGAAAAACCTATATTAACAGCAGTCAAAACTCGAGTCAGAACCCAGTCCCTTGCCAAAAAAAAAATCAATTGGTAATTATCTTTGTTCGTAAAGTGGATGAAATATTGTACATAAATATATATGAATCGGACGTTTACAATGACCATTAATTACTATTTACCATCGATATATCATAATTGTATTACTATTGTATAATGGTATTATTTTTGTCCTCGATTGTTCTAAGCATGTAGTGTCTATACTTAAGAACTTGATATTAATTAATTCCTAGCTGCTTTGCTGATTCCCGAATTACTTCACTGACTCGCCAAGCAATTGATCTTTGATCTGAAACGAAACCCTGGGTATATACATGACTGTGAATATCTAGAGTAATGTAAACAAC